GAGGGCATGGAGAAACAGTGATGGAAAGGAAACTTTCATATGTGAACGCTCATTTTTCATCACCAAGGGGGTGCCCCAGTTGGAATATTCAAAAATCCTTTCCTTTTGTACATCTACAACTTAAAACAAATCTACGTACTAAATTTCAGACTTTGAAAGTATAGCGGTCCGGAGAAACAATGATAAAAAGGTGATTTCCATATGTAAACGCGCCCCTTCCATCCCCAGGCTACAGTATGAATATTTGAAAATCCTTCCTTATTAAAGATCTATAACATAAAACGAATCTGCATACCAAATTTCAGCATCCAAAAAAATATAGCGGTGTTTTATATTGTTCAGTTCTTTATCGAAGCAGCATTCAACAGTATGATCCACAGACTGATAAATGTTCCTTTGTCAGGTGCGAATTTCAATAAAGAACAGAACATAATAAAACAAATAGCCGTCAACATTGATTACGATAACAGTCTAATACATTCTCTATTATCAAAAAAGTTATACAGCCAAGGAAATTCGCCCATTTCGAAGAGATGAGGATGAAAATTATAGAATCTTAACCTACTTAGGCCAACCCACTACAGAATATTTCAAATTTTCCGCAAAACAAAGGTGTAACTATTGCTCTCAAAACCATCAACTCACGTTTGAACATCAAGAATAACAGAGATAAAAGTTCAGTTTCAGAAAAATTGGAAGTGTATAATTATCTTGTGGGTCATGTCCGATGATTCATATAGGTCAAACTGGAAGAACGTTCAAAGCTTACACAAAGGAACACAGAAATACTTTCCAGAATGGAAAAATGAATTCCACATATGCCACTAATTTAGTCACAGAGGGACATGAGTTCAGCTATGAATTCAAGCCCGTCCATTTCCAGAAGAAAGGTTTGAAACTGAACTTGTTGGAGAGTATGGAAATAAACAAATTTAAAATATCTGAAAATATCTTATGAACTATCAAATTGAACTGAATAATTCGTCATTATTGAATCTGTTTATTTCCAGCTAAGAAAAGTTAGCTATAATTACGGTACTTTCGGAAATTTAATTTATTCATATGGTTAACGAATTTATACCTGCCCTCTACAGGTAGATTCATTCATTAGAAAGTAGGCATACAAGTAGGTAATATGTTAGAGTATAAAATAGTTATATAGAAGTAACTTATTATTAACACTTGAGAAAGCTATTGTATAGTGAAACACGTGTCGCGGTTTTTGTAAAACACTTTATAGTGAAAATCATACAATAAACTGTATTTCAATATGGATTTTCATCAAGTATCGGCGAGTTCTATTCTATTATGAAAAGCAAATTCATCGATGACTTTTTCATAGATTCTCCCTCAAAATTGTAACAACAATAATGATAGAAAAATTAACAGATTCCACAAAAGCTATATCCTAATACCAGTGACATTATAAATAGGAAAACTTCCAGTCTGCTGCCATAGATGACATAAATAGGAAAATTCTCAAGTCTGTCTGTACCCTTGTAGCATAAATTATATCATATTTATTAAATGAATAGTTTCCGTAAACACAAATCAACCAGCTCGGTAATTTCAGATTGACTAGGGTTCATCTACAGTGCACCGAATGATGGAAATAATATTCTAGGTATGACATGTCGTGCTTTTGATACTATTGATCATGATTTGTTACTCATGAAATCGGAAGAGTTGGGAGTTAGTGTCTCGCTTCAATACTTAACAAACATAACACAGACAACAGTAGTGAATAATGTGTAATCAGATTCAAGAATAATAAAACAGGGTTCAATCTTGGGACCACTATAGTTTATAGTCTTCCTGAGTAACACTGATGCCACCTATACCTCCGCAAATCAAATGATAATATATGCTGATGACAATAATATTCTGATGTGACACAATAATATTAGTCAGATAACAAAATTGAGTAACAGGGCATCTAATGAAATGGAAAGATATAGCATTGAAAATGGCCTCGTCCTGAATGGAAATAAAATTATGTCCGGTTTTTACCAAAAAACATAAATCTAAATTATGATTAATACTTAACCTTATCTGTAAAATCTATACAATATATGGAAAGCATTAAATTCTCAGGTATTACTTTGGGTAATAAGCACCTATAAACACTGTATGTTCAAAACTAAGCGCTACATGCTGTATAATGAAAAATCTGCGAAATAGTGTATCAGCAGACATTCTGAAACTATTATCGTTTGGAATTTTTTGGTCTACTCTGCAATATGGTGTGATCTTTTGGAGGTCATTTCGTCACTTTGAAAGGGCATTTTTATCTTAGAAAAAGATAATAAGAACAATGTGTCATGCTCATCCAACAACAACATGTAAACAAACCTTCAATCAAGAATCTTCAAATACTTATCCTTACATATTTCTATATTCTTGAGCTGATTATGTAAATTAAAAGATACCAAAATGAACTAATGAAGAATGAGAACACTCATATGTAAAATACGTAGATTAAAGAAAGACTTCGACAACCCTATGCAAGGTTATCAGCCTGTAAAAATTCGCCAAAGTATATTGTTATCAAATGTTACAATAAAATAAGGGATACAACCGACGTGGATCTGAATGACATTCAATTTAAAAATAAATTGGTAAATTTTCTACTTGAAAAAGTATTTTATAATGTTGAAAATTTTCATATTTCCTGAAAACTAACTATTGTGAAACTGAGTATTCTATGTATTTTATTTGGTTTGTTTTGGTCGGATCACCTTCTTCTTTTTGACTAGTCTGATGAGTTTTGTACACGTGTGTATGTATAATTCCTGGTAAAATCTTTGATGTGTGTAGTCACGTTCACATCGTGCTCCTGTTTACCACGATTAAAAGTGGTTAAAACGTTACATTTCAATTCAGTTTTCAAGTTTGTGGCTCAAACTAGTGTTTTCCATGTAGTGAACCAAGTTACACGGAGAAATTTTAACAGTACATTGCAAAATCTTCAAATATCATAATTAAACGGATTCAATTGACATTCCAGTGTAAAACTAACAGCCGAAAAAGTCCAAGCACAAAAAATGTCTGAAATTTGCCCAGTTTGCGATATCGCTATTGCAAAGTAAGGTAGAAATCAACCCAAAATTTGTTGCCCACGATGCAAAAAACTCATTATTTGAAGTGTTTACAACTAAACTTCTTGAATGTAATGATGAATCTTGTAATTTCTATGCGACCCTATAATTGGAACTTTTGTTCTGTTGAGTTGCCAAAGCTGTAAATAAATAAATAAATAAATAAATTGATTAATGAATTTTATTTATTATTAGTCGGTCAGTCAGTCCATAAACCTACAGTGTTGATAAGGGAAGCCTTGCCTGAATGAATTGTTCCTTCAGATGAAATTCATTTCCTTATACAAGGAATTGAAACATTTGGATATGCAGTTGATTAGTACCTCGTCTACAGGCAGATATGTTGCTTGTCGTTCACCTCAGCTTTGTTCGTGCATGATACTCTGAAAGGATTTGATTTGTAAGTATAGGAAATCATCGACTTCATGTTGATGTAGGACACTGACGGGAGGCCAAATAGCCCGAAACCGGTTTGCAAGTGTGCCTGTTTCAATAATTGAGAACCGTTTTCGGCAGTTATATCGCCAAAACCATATAAAGGGATTACTTCTGTGAAGAATTCTGCACTGACACCTGTCGGATATAATCCAACTTCATGGTTTTAGCCAGGGGAGTAGTTGGTTTCTGATAGGTGTCAGTCCATGAACCTGCTGTGTAGGTAAGGGAAGACTGGCCTGAACGAATTGTTCCTTTAGGTAATAATTCAGTTACATTTATATCGAAAGAAAGTTCACGCCATATGATATCACCAAGCAGTGTTACCTATCCAATAACGTTATCACCATTGAAATTGATCGGGTGACCGTTATCATCCAATTGGCGTAGAGTGATGTCGAGATATTGAGGACTGTCTGGCTTGATCTGCACATGAATAATATTCTGCGGTTTAAATTGATTCATGTAGCCGTTACTTGAATTTTGATTACCTGTGAGAATGCGGGTACGCTAATTTGCAAACCGGCGAGTGAACTCGCCGAATGATCGATTTGATCATTTAGTAGGTCACATCCGCAATGTACCTATATGCTTAGGAATTTTCAATGATTCCAATTAATTGAGTTTCCAATCCTTGTTTGCATAGTGCAAAATTTCCGTATCGTTTAGATTCGGGAACTTGTGGTTGCATTCCAAGGAATGGGTCAAAAACGTCCCATCATTTTCACCTAGTCTGTAGGACCTTTCATGTTCGGCATAGTGTTTTGAGAAATTTCGGTCACATTGTCCCACTTGAACACTATTACACTCTGGACACTTAAGCTTATGAAGTCCAGATTTCTCCATGTTGTCCACTTTATCTTTGACATTAAAAAGGAAATTAGATAACCTATGTGGCCGGAATGCCACGTCCACATTGTTTTTTCTGAAAAATCCTGCAATCGTCTGTTTTTTTTTTAGAAAAACAATTTGGAAATGGCATTCAGGTCACATGCCAGGTTGTGTAATTTCCTTTTTAATTCAAAAAATAAATTGGACAAGATGGAGAAATCTGGATTTTATAAGCTTGAGTGTCCGAAGTGTAATAGTGTAATGGTGTTTATGGGACAATGTGGCCGAAATTTCTCCAAACTGTGCTGAACATGAAAGGTCCTTCAGACTAGATAAAAATGATGTTGACTTGCAGTTGATTAAACTGATAAGTTAACTGCTGATATTCAGAAAGTCTTTTTTTCCTCAGATTCACATTTTAAATCTCTGATTGGGTGGTGGCACAACTTACCAAAGGTCTCAGAATTTCCTAGGTCATGTTGCATAAGCAATGTATTACACGAATAATATTTATGATATATCTGTTACACAAATCAGTCATATGTTTCGTTGAATTTCTCAAATCAATAACAATATTCATACGTTAAAATGTAATAAATAAAGGAAATGAACAAAATAAATTATATTCTTTTGTTGAACACTGTCGGTAACAATAAAATAATGTACTATCGACAATGACTATGTTATTACTGGGTACCAATATATGTTTATATTTTCAGATGGAAAAAATTGTGGAAAAAATGCAAGATGAAACAACTGGTGTGCCAGTACGCACAGTTAAGAGTTTTATGTCAAAAATTCCGTCAGTGTTTACCGGTTCCGATTTGATAATGTGGATGATGAAAAATCTGGATGTAGACGATCATCAGGAAGCATTGCATTCTGCTCATTTGATGGCATCTCACGGTTATTTTTTTCCTATAGATGATCATATGCTGACAGTTAAAAATGACGGTACTTTTTATCGATTTCAAACTCCATACTTTTGGCCATCGAATTGTTGGGAACCTGAAAATACAGATTATGGTAAAAGTATTATTTTGTGAAAATTGGACAAATATATCACTATTTTATAAATGTTGTAGCTGTATATCTTTGTAAGAGGACAATGCAAAATAAAACAAGATTGGAGCTAGCTGATTATGAAGCTGAAAATCTTGCGAGGTTGCAAAAAGTGTTTTCAAGAAAATGGGAGTTTATTTTTATGCAAGCTGAAGCTCAAAGCAAAGTTGATAAGAAACGAGATAAACTTGAGAGGAAGGTTTTGGATAGTCAGGAGAGAGCCTTTTGGGACGTTCATAGGCCAATGGTAGGATGTCTATTTGTGCATGAAAGAGTAGAGTGCTTTCAGGCAGGACCTTGAATTTGCGGCAGGTACTCTGAGGGTATTGCATGTCTGGTGGGATTTGATTGAAAAATATAATTTCCACATGACTGAATAATAATTCAGTCATGTGGAAATTAATTACAGGTACTTAAATATATAAGGGTGAAAGTGATCAAACTTTTTCATGCATCGCGACCAAGTTATTTATATTATTCACGAAAATGAAATAATTTTTACACTAATCACATTACTAAAGACTCTTTTCGCTACACAGTAGCTTCCTCAGTCGAACTGGTTATTTTCTGGATATATAATATTGTATATAATGAAGAAAATACCTTTTGTCTGATTTCTACTAAGATTTTTATTTGATACGACTGGTTTCGGATTGCTAAACCATTTTCAAGTAAACTGACGCATTTTGATAAACAAATCCTCAAATATACTTCTGAGACCTGTAATAGGTTCCTGAAATAACAGACCTGAATTATCAATACCAATAACCAAACAATAATTAATTTAACTTTTATAACATATCAAAATTACTATTGATCCTTCAAAAATACTACTTGTGGATTGCTTCAACTACCAATGGATCCTAAACTAGATGTCAAAATTCACAAATTTAGAAGGAAAATAAATAAATTGTATAAAAACCTCAATTTCAAAACCAAGTAACTATTCATCTCTCCTCTTTTGACTTTTGGTATCGATGGGTGTTTGGTGATATTTATATCGGTGGGAGCTATTGAAGTTGAAATGTGGGGGCGGAGCTTCGGGTTATTACTATCACTGGACATCTCTCTGACCGTCATCACGTTTGTTCACGCAGGATGCTCGCTTTTCGATTTAGATGGTCTTAGTGATCGCAGAGTCTTTGTTGTGTCCTGTCTCTTGATGATGTTTGGACAGGGCCGACGATGGGTCTGACTTTCGGACAACAAGTTGATGTTCGTATACTCTACTTGTCACACGTCTTTTGGTCTGGCCTACATATGCCATTGCGATAGAACATATGTAGGCGCACAGCCGAGCGTGGCCAACGGAAGTTATATTTTCTTGAATTATTATTTTAATTACTATACTTTAGGAAGAAAACTGAGGCAGATTAAAGGACATGCTTTTTGTGCATAAATTGATGAACGTTTAGGCACCTTTTTTATTCTCTTATTTTGACAGCACAAGAAAGTAAAAAAAAACATTGTTGCCAGTTCTTTGGCACAGAACACAGAAAACAAAATAACAGATAATATTAAGTTCAACATATTTTTTAAATGAAACACCCAGTATTTGAATACGTCATTCGATTCCATATTTTTTCAGCTCTCTGAAGAATTTTTGATTTCGAATTTCCATCAAATTTTCACCCCCATGCCTACAAAAATTAAGTGGATATTTTTTTTTGGAATAGATAGTCAACTTCACTATGATAATTTCGGGAATCTCAACTTTCGGAAACAATATATAGGGTGTTCGGTAAAACCGGTCATGTTTTGTTAATTTTCAAACAGACATAATTCAACTTTTTCAAATGAAACACCCTGTATTTTTTCATTTGAATGAAATGTTTCAACATTTCATTACTCTGAAAGCTCTAGTGATTCTTCCTTTCATGTCCTCTATAGGTGTTGAAGGAGTTTGGTAGAAAATCCATTTGATATACCCTCATGAAAAATTCTATTTTGATTAGGTGAGGTGATTTGGGTGGCCACGCCACAGGCCCACCCCTACCTATCCAATTTTGATTGAAATGATCGTTGAGGTATTCCCGTACCTCAGTTTTAAAATGTGGTGGTTCACCGTCTTGTTATAGCCACATTCTAAGTCTTGTTCCATATGGAACCCCGTCCAATAAATTCGAAAGATCATGCTGAAGAAATTTTACATATTTTCTTTCAGTGAGATGCCCATCCTGCTCAGGTCTGGGGTACTTACGTGGGGATTTTCAACAAGGTGATTGACATTACTAGTTCTTTCAAATCTTGTTTACAGATCCTGAAATGCATTTCCATCTGGTTGTCTTCTTTCGAGGAACTTCTCTTTGTAAATCCTTCATGCGAGGAGGCAGTTTCCGTCACTTTCCCCCAAAGTGTAGGCCATTTGCACCATATCTTCCAATACATTCAAGATGGCCGCGAATGAAAATGCGGGTTCAAATAAGGTGAAAAAAAGTATGCAAATATCGCAAAAATAATGTCTCAACAGGCCCTGAGTGCGTGAAGTGCACAACTCCGAATCATAACAATTGTGCAAAAAGAATAAAATCTTGCTGTGATGAAGCTTTGAATGAACCCTCTCATGAATATGGTGATGTACCCTACCAAACAGAAGAATTCTTTCTCAAAGAAGAAAACAAGGTATAGAAGCAGATAATTTCGAACGAGGACATCATAGTTAATGACAAAAAAATAGTATTTAATCATTTAAGAAGACAATTATTATAATAATTATGATAAAATATCCCGAGATAATGAGAAGAGCACGATTCATAAACACTATAATAATAAATAACTTTTATTCGCAATAACAAAATACATGTACTAAATTTCAATCATTTACAGATTTGCAAATAAAATAGTTCAGTCATTTAGGTTCTGACGAACCTGTCTATGACAACTACTTACAAGCAGAACGAGTATAATTAGATAATTTAATTAATGAATACTGCTAGCGAATCAAATTTTGAAAAGAGGTACAACAGAAAAAGAAACTATAAACATGTAGACAACTCAACAAAAAAGTATCTCACTGTAATACAACAAAAACGGGTCTTACTATAAAAACAGATACCCAGAAACAAACCAACGAAATAGAGACGAAGAAAAACATTAATATGAAGGACGATGTACTCCAGGTGAATAATGAAGCAGGAAACTCCAAAATACAGGGGGATTCACCGGTAAAATTAGACGGACTATCTAAAGAAATTATGGAAATTCAGACTCAACAAAAATGCAATGAGATCATACATTTGGCAAGTTATTACCTCGGGACTGAAGACAATATCAATGAATCGAAATGGAAACTCGTAGAAGGGACAAATATAACACAAAAACGACTAGGAGAGCAAGCATATACAAATACAAACACTCAAAAATTCAGAAGTGAAAGTCCAAAAGTATGGCTGTATGTGACCAGAATCCCTCAAGATGTAGAAGAAGAGAATATCTGGGAACAAAAACGAAAAGGGAGCATTAAGAATATACCGTTAAGAAACTGATAACAACTGAAGGCAGCTTAACTTAACAACTCTATGGTTGCGGGGGATTGGAATCTCAAAGAAGAGTTCTACACTAAGTCTTTCTGGTCAAGAGGGATTGGATTCAGACAGTTTGATTTCAAGCTATATTACGAGAAATATGGAATAAGATATATTATTGATGGTGAGAAAATCCCAAACGGCATAATGTTGAGCACTTGGTGTTGTTCCAAAATCACTTTTGATGTTTCTGAAACAGGATTGTGTTTTTATAGTTTTTGTTGGTGGAAAAAAATTTATCATTGGCTTGTATTAGGGTTGTTATTTCCGATGATTCCTTTTGTCTTAAAAAGAACTCGAATGTCTGTCCTTTGAATTTACGAAGATTTCACGAAAGTGGAAAAAAAGAAAACGTAAACAACGAAACATCTGTAGAGGTGCGGGAGATGATAATTTGCATGGGATGAATAATCAGCACAAAAAACTATAGTTATTCGTAATACAAGTTTCAGATGATATAAATGAAAAAAAATATTAAAACATACATAGAAACACGCACCAAGACAAAACAGTCACCAGAAAATCAAGAAATTGAAGTTGAAAAACTAAAAACCCTCCACATTAGACGCAATAACCAGTCCTTCATAGTGGGCGTGTCACTTAATCTGAAGGAGAATTTGTATTATCCTAGTTTCTGGCCAAGAAACATTGGATTTGAGAGATTTGACTTTAGGAAAGGCAAACACCTTCTCAACAACCAGTACACTTGTAAAAAAAATGTAAACCAACCAGCTACTTTTTTAAATGTGACTCAGATGCAAAATCTCCGAGAATTAAAACCCTATTATTACACCAAAATGTCTAATCCCTAAGGAATAGCATCAACATGTTGCAAAAAATGGTGACCTGAAATGTCTAATATCATGCATCACTGGGCAGTGGCAAAAACAACTTGGTCTGAAACTTCACTCATTCAAAGAACACAACCTAGTATCGAGCCATTGTAGACCAGAAAGGCAACATGGAGGTCGGCGATATATATTTCAAAAGAGATCATTCCAATTCATTGAATGGATACCCTAGCTGAAGACTACGTCTTTGAATGTTCCAGCGCTTTCTGCGAGATAGATAGGACAAAGATGAACATAGTTTGTATCTATAGGGCCCCCTGGAGGAATGTGGAACTGTCTTTGAACAAATTTCAATGTATGTTCGATATTTTATTCAAAAAAGAAACTTTTAAATTTTATTACTGAAGATTTTAACATATACAAGGCTTTTTTCGAAAGTAGGGCTTGCAGAAATCTGTTAGCTACCTACAATTCCACTTTAATAGTCACTGAACCGATCATGCTCACTCCCCAGTCCAGAATTTGTCTTGATAATATTACAAATTTTGAAGGAAATATGAAACGAAAAGTCGTTGAAACAGGTATATCGGACCACTCAGGGCAAGTGTTATTTGTTAAGTGGAAACAACAAACAAACAAAACAGTAAGACGTTATTATAATTCTAACTCAGTAGGTTTTGCACTTCAAAAAAAAACAGAAAAACAAATAAAATCACATGAAAGATTTTTCAACTTCCCAGAAACTACACAAAGAAGAAATGAATTGATTTTTTACCAATTCATCTCCAAAAATGACCCAAACTAAGGCAATATACAACGAGCAAAAAAAGAATTACAATAACTTTTTAGGAAATTTAACTACAGAAACAGAAAATGAATCTAAAGTAATGTGGCAGGTTATCAAAGAAGTGACAGGTTCATCTCAAAATGGA